CAGGATTATAGCAATAAACTCATTAGCGATACCTGTTGTGACATATAGTTTTAATGTAATAAACTGGAATTCGACAGAAATTAAGAAAATGGATACAAAGATAAGGAAAATTTTGACATGCAACAGGATGCACCATCCCAAAGCAGACGTTGATCGTCTGTATCTTCCGAGAAGACAGGGTGGAAGAGGCATGATACAACTGGAACTAAGCTATAAAACGTCAACAATAGGACTTATGAAATACCTGGAAACAACAAAAGACTGGATGTTGCAACTTGTCAAGGACCATGAAAAACAGAAAAAGTTGCACTCTATTGTGAAAGAATCAAGGAACTTCGAACGGGAATTAAAAGTAGAAAACAATGAAAGGCAAGGAGAACTAGAAGAAGCAACAAAAGAAGCTAAGAAGTTAAAGGTGAAGGTAAAGGCTGTGGGCAAAAAGATGTTGCAAGAGAAATGGGAACAGAAATCTCTGCATGGAAAGTATGTTCTTCGGAGTAAAGATGCTAATGTAGACCAGACTCACACCCATCAGTGGCTCCGAAGTGCAGGACTGAAAGCACAGACTAAAGGTTTCCTTCTTGCAGCACAAGATCAAACACTGTCCACAAGTAACTACCAAGCCAACATATTGAAAAATGGAGCAGACCCCAAATGCAGATATTGCAATGAACAGTGTGAGACAGTTGACCATCTTGTATCAGGATGTGCTGTACTTGCCCCTAACGAATACAAGGCTAGGCATGATCGAGTTGGACAATGCTTGCATTGGAAAATTTGCCATCACTTTGGTATTGAAACCCCAAAACACTGGTATGAACATCACCCAGACCCAGTTGTTGAGAGTGACAATGTTTCGATCCTTTGGGACTTCCCTGTTTACACTGACAGAACCATAAATGCTAACCGGCCAGACATCATAATAAAAGACAGGAATGAAGGAACTTGCCTCCTTATTGACATGAGTATACCAACAGACAGAAATATATCAAGTAAAGAATTCGATAAGCTGAGCAAGTACAAAGACCTTGAAATTTAAATCCAAAAAATGTGGAAAGTACAAGCTACCACTGTACCTGTGATAGTGGGTGCATTGGGAATGATAAAGAAAGGCACAGAGAATCACATCAGCAAGATCCCTGGCGAGCCATCACTAAAGGAAATCCAAAAAATTGTTTTGACTGGCACAGCTCATGTCCTGAGAAGGGCATTGTCGACATGACCGCCATCACAACCTTTTTTTCGCCTTAGGTTGCAGGTAGCAACCCGGTTAGAAAATTGTAAAGTCGGAAATCTAAAGAAAAACAACTTTATAATAATAATAATAATAATAATGAAAACATTTTTTATTTTATATTCTTCTACTTACAACAGTAACCTCACTTTACAGGTAGTTACTATCGGCTAGCCTGGTGACAAGTTTACTAATTTTACAAAAGTTATAACATTTAAATAAAATCATATGAGTGCAAAGAATCTTTAGAAGGAGAGCAGTTTAGGGTTTGTCCAAGTCTTATTGCGCATACAGAATATATAATAGGATGTGCGTATAATTATTGCTGACAGTTTTTTAATTATAAAATTACGGTGTTGGTAGTCAAGTTTTAGTTCATCACACATATCGATGAAAGAATCACAGGAGTAGATAATAATAATGGAAACTTTTCATTTTCAATTCAATTAAAACTAAAATTACAAATTTCACTATTACAAAGGTAATTGCAATTGGCTAGCCTGGGTTTACAAAGAAAAAGACTATTACAAGCACAAAC